TTGATTTCCTTAAAAGAAAGTAAGTTTTTGGTTCTATGAACATTAACAAAGCTTTAATCTTAAAAAAAAATTATTTCTATTACAAATTGTGTTTTGTAAGTAGGGAACTCACAAAAGGAATAGTAATATTTTTTCCCATCGATTTGTGATCTATTTTTTCTATTACGTCGCTAATACTATTAAAAGAACGTTCTATTCTCATTAAAATATAATCGATGACTTTCAAATCAACCTTTAATTGCTTATCAGAAAATTTTTTGATCAGCATAATTCTTAATAACTCTTCATTTGCTGGTGGAATTTTTACACTCATTGTTGACAATATTCTGGAGTGTAGATCTTTTAATTTAAAGCTAAGGTCCTTCGGCAAGAATGAAGAAGTCATCAATAATCTTTTTCTGTTCTCTTGCAGGTAGTTATAACAATGTAGCAATGTTGCTTCATCCTGAATATTGTGTATATCCTCCAAGATGAAAGCATTGCTGTACCGAATATCACTTATAAAGTTATGGGGATTAATAAAGATAGCATCGTTTGTTGACCGCCAAATATGAGCAAGATGAGTTTTTCCAGAATTTCTAGGTCCACATAAAATTAGACATTGCCAAGACAGGTTATTAATCACTGTGTTATACACACTTCTATTTTCTTCTAGCACAATGTAGTTTTTATGGCTATAGTCAGTCTTGTTATTATCAAATAAACTTAACTGCATATTACTTTCCTTTGTAAAATTGACTTCTACAGTATTTTACAGCTATTAGCTCCATTGATACTTTAAACACCGCTATTATTGGAATGAAGAGTAATATGCCTATAAAACCAAAATAGTAAGCACATACAGTTACACCAAGAAGAATAATAATTGGATGTATATGAACTTTCTTTCCGATTAATAGCGGAACAAGGATATTCGAATCTATTAACTGGCCAACTAAAAATAGTAATAAGACAGCAAAGCTTTGAAACCATTCACTAAATTGAACAATAGCACTCAGAAAACCAATCGTAGAATATAATAACGCCCCTATGTAAGGTATAAATGTCAGAATCCCTGATAAAATTCCTAAAGTTATGGAATGCTTTACCCCCAGTATACTTAAGCCGATGGAGTAAAATATTGCCATAGCAAAACACACATTCATCTGCCCTGTAAGGTAATTGGAAATTATAAAATCTACTTTTGAAAAGTAATCTATAACTCTTTCTCTATATGAAACAGGTATAAGTTGATTAACTTTTTTCATAATTATTGGTAAGTCACGTAGCACATAGAAAAATGTTACTATGGTGATTACCATTAGTGACATCATATGAATTAAGTTAAAGCTTGAATTTAACATCTGGAGCATAAAATTCGCTATAATCTTTAAAGCTTCTATAAAATATGCTGCATAATCACCGTAATTTTCCGTTAGATGCTGAGATAGATCATTTAATAAATTATCATTCATCTTAACATTAAAAAACGCCAATAAAGGTGGAATTATTTTAGGCTGCAATGATGGTATTTTACTGATTAGAAAATTTAAGATTAAAGTAGCTTGGGTATATACAATTGGTAAAACTAAAGTTATAATTAATATGGAAATTGTAAGCAAAATCAGTATTATTAAAATTACAGAAAGTAAGCGCGGTACTTTATATTTCTCAAGCTTTACTACTAATGGATTTAAGAAATATGCAGCAATAACAGATGTTAAGCATGGAAAAAGTACGGGTCGTATTAAAAATAGAATACCAACCATAAAAAGCAGTATAGAACAGAAAATTAAATAACGTCCTTGCATACCTTATCTGCTTGCTAAACTTAAGAGTATGCTGATTTATTAAAAAATGTCCATGTGTATCTGCTATTTTACATAATATACATTATGTAATTTTGATCGATACACCTTTATTACTCATTTAATCTATTACAAGAAGTGTCACAAATAATTTTTATATGCTTTACAACCAGTCAATAAATAATCATAATGAAATTTCATACATGTAAGTAAAAACAGATTTGTCTTTACAAGATAATCTATTGATTGTCTTGTATTTTTTGTTGTTATTTTATTCTGGTGTGGTATTATGAACTTTATCAATCCAAAGGTTTCAGACGATCAAATTACAGCAGCTAGTCATAGTGTTATTTGGCAAAAAATCCAAGCTTGTCTCCATAATCTTTACGGAGAAGCAACATATAATAGTTGGCTGAGCTCACTCAAGTGTATAGGTGGCAAAAATGGTGAAGTTTTGTTATCTGCACCAACTAGATTTATAAAAGAGTGGGTTATCGCTCACTATATAGAAAAAATATTATCATTGTGGCAGTATGAAGATAATAGTATACATTCTGTAGATATTCGAGTAGTGGAAGATAGCCCTAGTATAGTACTTAAAAACAGAACAGAGATTAATCATAACCTTGGTTCCCCGTTAGATTCTAGGTTTACATTTGATAATTTCGTAGTAGGAAAACCAAACGAGCTAGCCTTTACAGCAGCAAAGCGTGTGGCAGAATCTATAGACCCTATTTCAGGTAGCAACCCTTTATTTTTATATGGTGGTGTGGGGTTAGGTAAAACACATTTGATGCATGCTATAGCTTGGTACATAGTCAATTCTCCATCAGCAAAGAGAAAAGTAGTGTATTTATCGGCGGAAAAATTTATGTACCAGTATATCACAGCATTACGAAGTAAAGATATCATGTTATTTAAGGAGCAGTTTAGGTCAGTGGATGTGCTGATGGTCGATGATGTGCAGTTTATTAGTGGTAAAGACAGCACACAAGAAGAATTTTTCCATACCTTTAATGCATTGATTGACCAAAATAAGCAATTGGTTATATCTGCTGATAGATCTCCAAGTGATCTTGATGGTGTTGAAGAAAGAATTAGATCTCGTT